AATCTGCTCTTCATGGTAATTAAAATGATATTTTTCTCCTTTAGATACATTTTAAAAATCGAGATTACTTTAGCTCATAACTCAAATTCACTTACTCTTGTTTGCATGTGTAAGCTTACTGCATCGCTAAAACGGAGGTTTTGGTCCCCTGATGGGACTAAATACGGATGCCACCATGTGAGTTCACGGTATAGAAAAATATTTTTCATTGTGATTATTACACATAGAGATATATCAAAGCTACCTCTCTGTTCAAAAAAAAACTAGGTAGGTGCATTATCATGGCTTCTGCTTCAAACTATGCTAACATTTTTTTATTAACAACTATACAAGTCAGTAAAATTAGGCAAAGTCGTTTTCTTTCAAAATGTTCTTTGCAACTTGCAGCTCACTTTCTTGGTAAATTTTGCTCTTCGCAGCATAATCCATGTCAGTGCTTATCAAAAAACTTATTTTTTGACAGGATCTCAAACAGGCTGAAATTCAGGGCGATGAAATTGATTCATGCGTATGCGATTCATACTTTGGCGCAAAAGTGGTAGTTGCAAATTCCAAGATTGCGGCGAGGCTCTATCTCGGAACATTTTTTTAATGGACTGGTGATTACGTGCTACCTCGTCTCAAGGCTCTCAATGGGTAATATATAGCCTCAGAAAATAAAATCACTATTATTCAAGAGGGCGGACTGGCAGGCTGTCAAAAATGAGCGGTTTTTTCATTTCATATTTCATTACACACATAGATAGACCTTTCCGAAATAAGAAGATTGATATGACGTACTATAAAACATATTATTCATGCATCAATCTCACAGTTCAGCTACATAACTTGGACCCTGCCAAAAAATAACTAGAGGGGTTTTTTCTGAAGAGTACTGCAGAACACCCATAGCTGCTCCAACCATAACTAATAAGACTTATTGAATCGGCACTTGAAGCTGACGTAAGAATAAAAAACTTCGTTTTCATATTCACGTTCATTTTAAGCTAAAAGCCTGACTTTATCCAACTTTACTGTGCTGTGAATGAATATTTGATTTGAGGGTTCAACAATGCGCTCATAAGTAGCAAAACATATATGCATACTTCTTTTATAAAATACAAAATCTCTAATAACAAAAATGACGCGAAGAAAAGAGATGCAGTTAATATACTTCTTTTTGGTCGATATCAGATCTCATTTGTACTTAATACTTAAAGTTGTTTAATATACACAATATTTAAAAATGTTTTAATACTGTTGAAAAGTTGCAGTTTACAATAGATTTTAAATGTAGTTACGATATGATAATATATGATGCGATACAATCCTGAAAGCCACTTTCCATTTGAACACTTCAAACCGATATGCTTAGTGTGACGAAATTATTCATGTGCCAAAATATTGAACAAGTAACAATTTTCAAATCTATCTACCATACCCCTCTATGAACACATAAAATGAGAGTCTAGGTTAAATCGGTAAAACAATGTATTACTCAAAATATTTTATTACAATAATGCAACTATAATCCAAAAAAAAAATACAAAAGTGGAAGGCGAATTATACCATTGCAATATCATTATTTGCATGATATTAAAACAACAAACAAAAACTAACAGATATATTTATCATCGCCCTGACATATTAACCTAGTAGTGTTTTCAATCAACGACTTAAGAGGTTAGCGATTTTCTAAATACAGAGTGGGCAATATACGACTGGCTGAAGTAGATCCAAACTTTTGTTATTCTATCATGGTTGGTTAAGTTAGGAGTTATGAGAAAAATAAATACCTGTCTCTGGATACCATGCTAACGTCAGCCCCCGTGATCACACTTTCCACCACCTTTTGTGAATATTTTGGAATACCAATAATAATATCGACACACCTTCGAAAGAAAAATCATCAATTTCACAACAGCTTCAGTCAAACCTCATTATGAAAAGCATATATCAGTAGCCTCAACAAGGAAGCTGAATTTCCTGAATTTTCACTACAACAGTTCTTTTAACCCGTAATTTATTCAGTTCGGTCAGCAAAATTCGTCTACTTAAGACTACATTTACAAAATAAAGTTCTAGCATTGTATCAATCCAGAAGCAGACAAAAACAGAAAAGTTTTCAGTTGATTGTAAATTTGTTGATCAACACAAGGTCCTCTATCCTATAGAAGACGCAGTAAGCAGACAAAAAGGTGTGAATAGGGTCAAACATAAACTATTCCCTGAACTAAAGCATATGGTGGCAGGAACTAACAAAAAATTGACAAGAGATCGAAAGCTAGATTGTGGGGCGGATAAAAAAGAACGGCCTGATGCCGTTGATATCATCTTAGTACGATGCTACCCATTCTGACGGAGTCTTACAGATGTTATCACAAGAAGATGTAAAACGGATACTTATTGTAGTCCCGTACTAAGGCCAAAAGCAGATGGAACAAATATATTTACCTGTTTTGTCGATTAAAAGTGGAACAAAACTTGTAAGTGAAAGCAGGTGCAAATATTGAATAAATCCCCTTATACTCGTACGGATGGATTTTAAAATATTTCTATTTCTCGAGCAAACGTTTGCTTTTTATAAATAACTTTTCCGTTTTTCATCTACTGCCGTATGAAGCGAACCTTGAATGTTGGTTGTTTTCAACTACTATCCTCAGACAACCTTTACATAACTATAGGTGGAACAGGCGTCTTATAACATACTTCCGAACCAGATATTTTTTATCACTACATGTAATATTTTAGGTAATAGTGGATTTGGCTACTGGAATACTGTAATTTCAGACTGATCGTGTTTCACCAATAATCATGATATTCGAAAATAATACAATTCAGCATTTCAAATTTTTGAAGAAGGTGAAGCTTATATTCCTACAAACTGTCTTGCCAGACGTGCGATAGCCGAAAGTGTTGTAGGAGATACAAGAATATTGAGGTTGAAAAATAATATGATAGCCTTCGATGTATTGGTTTATCATATTTTGGATTTCCCGTAAATTGCTAATCAGAAGAGCAATCATTGAAGAAAATGTAGTATCACAAGAAAACACACTTGTTACTGAGCGCAATTCTGTATATCTCCTACAGCAAAGACACCATCATACATATCTATTTGTCCCTCCCCTTTCAATTTATCCAGCGGAAACCTCTTCATCTTCAAATAACAAATTCTCCTTGAATAGCTAATAAACAATGATAGTGGTAGCCACATAGGGTTATTCTTACTGAAATATTCACTCCATGACAACGGGACAATGCTGTGGCATAAGAACTCACCAAGATGATACGCCCAACTTATATAAAGATCAGCAACATAAAGCTTAGCATGACTGCATGAAGTAGTAAAAGTAGTAGGCAATTTGTAGCAAGACCTGCTCACTATCAAGGATGGCTCCAGATATATTGTCATGTGTTTCATTATATAAAAATATAAACTTTAAGCAGTATGAAACCCACTTATGAATGATGTGATGAATCATTGAAATATACAAGCCTTTTGATAACTTTCATTTTTAACAGTTCTGTGGAACGCAAACTGATATAAACTTTTATTTTAACCAATAATTTAGAGAACGTATGAATTTGAATATTTGCATGTCATTAAGTAACATCGCGTTTCAGCAAGAAGAACCCAGCAGAAACTACCTTTTTCATATCTCGTTTAATCGCAAAATAATGAATCAAATATTTACTAATACTCGCGCACTCAATCACACACACTAACAAGATGGAGAACATTTAGCACAAAATGGTTCCAAAAACAGCGTTTTGCTATATAAATACGAGTGAAGGACATAGTTGCTGAATTGCAGAATTCAATATGTCAATGGTCACTGGAAAACTATATTGTTCATTTATCGGAACTAAACAAGTTGAATTCAAATACATTTATAATGCTGCTCCTCTTCCAGCTAAGACGTAGCATACTATCTGCACCTTAAGCACACGGTTTTTTTTCAGGTACCGCACTTCAACACATGTATATGATTTCTACACCTAACAAGGAAATAATAAGTTGGTCTTATACGCCATAGGAGTCACACTTTATGCTAATAGGATTGAATAACTCAGTATTTTCTTAGATGTGTACCATCTCCAGATTGCAGATGCTCTCCAACATCCTTCGACTGTTATAGACTACAAAACTCATGTTTCTTGAATGAATTACAAAGCTCTACACGATGACCAGTTAGCATGCCATGTGATAAACCATCACAATACTCGCCTGTATGACAAGGTCTCAGCTTGGTAACAGTGGCAATAATGTTGAAAAATGAGGTGTGATCATAAGACACTTGAGGTGCTCTTAGATGGCCACATATTAGGAAAGTTTTATAGTTTCAAATGAATGATGAATGAATGTTCTTGAATGACAAGAAATTATAAAAAAGTTGAACCTTTTGAATAGATCCATCCGCTGGTCATGGATAGCGATCTTGCTTTAATCCCCGATCTCAAACACTTAAATCAGGCTATTATATAATAATAATAATAATGTTTATTTGTAAAATACAATTAGTCTGGAACAAAACAAATAAACATAAAGTACCCACAGAAGGCCTGTGCGCCTATGTATAGGTAACATTGTCATTACAATACTTAAGGCAGCAGCGGTGGCCGCAGTAGTAGACTCTTCGGTCTCCTGATCAGTCGCCGTGCGCTGTGCGGGTTCGAGTCCCGTCCCAGGAGAAATTTTTCTCTTGGCTATGGATGTTGTGATTGTCCGTAGGTGGTAGATGGTCTCTAACTGTCGAACGCGGAGGTACCACCCGGCGGTTCTCGTAGGCGGAGCCAGAATGTGTGCATGTTGCATGCACACGTGTTCCCTCCGTGTGGCGTCCCCCCTTTCCCATGTATCCCCCTATAGCCCCACGGTACCCAATGGGTGCTTAGGCCTTAGGCCTTCGTGGTAGTTGGAGTATAAAAAAAATACTGATATATTTTGATATATTCTTAATTATTATTGAATACATTATTATATCACGTAATTACTCAAATTTATCATATAATATATGTATATCCGTTTAAATAAACTGAATTCAAAGGCTTATAAATTTTTACAGTTCTAGGAGAAGATTTTGTTGAGAAAATCTGAATATACATTAATTTATTATTTCATTCATCATATACGATTGTTCTTGTATCCACAGTTTTATACGTTTTTTGTATGTATAGTAACTAGCATGTTCTCTACATCCATCAGGCAGAAAATTATGACTCGAGAATGTATGTTTGTATTTATAAATAAATAACATGAAGTTCATACAATATAATTGTCTGATACTATTTATAATATTTGATACCGAGCTTTGAATAAATTTCAGAAATGCTAGATAATAAGTAATTCACAGTATTTAATATAAAAGATTGATATTGGCAAATTGAACTCTGATTCAATGACTTTTGGGGTGCCATTTGGTCGATGTAAATTTACTCGCTTGGCTTTTGGCATGTGTTCAGCACCAGAGATTTTTCAAAAGAAAAATTACAGTTTTGGTGTCCTTGAAGGTGTAGCAATTTACTTTGATGACAGAATTGATATTATTAAAATCTGAAGCGGGTCATAGAGCGAGCTCCAAAGTTTAATACTAGTTCTACCAAAACAAGGACAACTTAAACAAACATGTCAAATTTATGGGACAGATATTTTCGAGTCAATGTATTCAGACCAATAAGAGCTACATAGAGGCCATTTCGAAATTTTTTAGGAATCCAATTAGATATTGACTGGGCCTGAACTAAAGAGCATCAAGAAGCTCTAGGCCATCTGGAGCATTTGATGACTGAATCGCCTGTATTGTCATTTTTTGACACACAAAACCCTACTGAAATAGCAGCAGATGCATCAAAGGATGGCTTGGGATCATGTCTGCTTCAAAATGCAAAGCCGGTTGCTCTTACATCTTTTAGTTTCACTAAAACGGAGCAACTGTATGGCCAAATTAAAGAGGAAACTCTAGCTATCTTATTTGTTTTTTCCAATCCTATTTGTTGCTAATAAATTTGATTATTTGGTTTATGTCCTTCCTGTCAAGATTTTCAGTAAGCAGCTTCAAAAAGGATCTTCAATCATACTTTCCAGGAATTCTAAAAATGAGTCTCATACTGCTGAATTATAACTTAAAAGCGTTCTTGATGCCAAATAATCAGTCAGCAGATGGTGATATTGAATTTGCTGTGGTCGTCATGTTACCAATTTCAGAGGAATGAAGAACTTAACTTCGCGAAGAAGCTAAAGCTGATTCTCAGCTGAAACTAGTGTTAGAATTCATTAAAAACTGATAGCCAGAGCAAAAATATAACACCTCAGTCTATCAGGATGTACACAAAAGTACGCAAGAGAAACTGTTCGTTGCTGATAGCCTAATATTTCTAGTGTGGTAGTACCATTTCCACTACGAAATGACATGTTGAAACACCTCCATGAAGGACACCTGGGATGGAATGATGAGGTATCGAAACTCTCCCTTGAATGGTATGAGCTACAACCTTTCAGAACTGCTGAATGGAAGACGATGTGAAACAAAGGTTTCTGTTCCTGCCGATATATTGATATCAAAGCTTTCTAAGGATGTAAAGGAAAATGTGTTAAGGATAGAACAGCACATGACAGAAGCGCTTAGACCTTCTTACCCCTAGAAGCAAAGGTAATAGTGTAATTTTTGATCAGGTCAGTGGTAGTTGGAAATGTAAAAAATCTTAAATCATCACTCTCCGCGAGCTTAATCTTGAAAGATGAGGAAGTTAGTGTCATTGGTAGGTATCGACATATAAAATGCTCAGAATATACTTATAGACTAAATACTGGATCCGATCTAGTTCTAGTCAATCATGAAAACAAAATAAATCGAGTCAGAGTCCTTAAATGAAACCACTAATTCTGACTCTCACAAGACTTGATGTATAAGCTTTGAGGAGGAGATGCAGCATAAGGTCTTAGCTTGTTAACAGTGGCAGCTCTGTTGAGAAGTGAAGTTGGTTCGTAATGTGCTTGAGATGGTGTTAGATGACCACATGTTTTCAGAAAAGTTTTATAGTTTTAGGCTAATAAAGCGCTGTCAATGAACTCAGAAGCTAAATTATTGATCATCCTCGACCGGATGATACATCGATTTAGTTGTTCCTCGTGATTATCATGATATAGTGTGGATCAGTTGTAGAGTTTTAATGCAAAACTGGTTTTTTGTTTCTATTTCAAATAGGAATAAAAACAATGGTTGCGATAACATCAGTGTTGGTTTTGCGTTTCGATCCGTTCAAACGTACGAGAACGGTGCCTGAAAGAACGTTGTGTGCTCAGGCTCTTGATGATGGCGTTATATAGACCTTTAGATACTTCCTTCTGCACATATCTAAATCTAAATCATTTCAAAATACCTAAGCAAGGGCCTAAGGGTATACACGAAAGGAGGAGACATATTCTATTTTAGTTGGTTCAAAGAAGTACAACTGATAGACAGATGTCAAAAGATTGCACAATAAAAAATATCCGTATATCTGTCATTTGTTGGAAAATGTCCATTCTCTTCATTCTCTTCACTTATGTTTCGACCTCTCAAAAATAGGTTACTTCGTACCCTTTTGCCACATACTAAGATATAGACAAAAATGAACTCGTACTTTCAGTAGCTTTAAAGGAAAATAGAAAAGTGCGAACTTAAAGAAACAAAATATCCAAATCGTTGCGAGTATAAATGTTGATACTCAACAAGTTTTCCCCGTGAGGCAACCTGCAGAATCGTGCTTAGCACGCCATATTTCTCCGATGTAAAGAGCTGATAATATAAGAATATAGTCGAATACAAAAGTGCAAGAAAACAGCAAAGCTCATCGTACTCCACTGTTAACGCGGTGTGTGTTTGTATACGTAGACGCTGATCTTATAATACCCAAAGACACACCGCGCGAGTACGCACAGTTATGCGTTCGCTACTCTCTTCTTTTTTGGTACTGGACTATAAAGTAACCAATAATTATAAAGTTGGATATAAACCTGCATATCCAGCAACTAATACCCTTCTCATCCGGAAAACTTAACAACAATAAAACAAAAGTGGTTATTTTCCACCTAGTCCGAATTTCATAAATATAAGTTCCTTGCCCTTAGACAAAATATCACCACCGGGCGCCGTGATTTCATTCAACTTCTGCATCACGTTTGCACCCACCCCTGCACCGGGCATGCCCTGGGGCATTCCAGGCATACCTTGCTGCCCCTGCTGCCCCTGCTGGGACTGCGTCTGTCCGCCCATTACATTCGTGGGCAGCACCTGGGGCACGCCCTTGTGTTGTATCCTATTCTGGAAGCCACTCTGTTGCTGTGTCTGCCCTTGCTGCTGATTTTGCTGCGTCTGTCCCGTCAGACTGCTAAACAAGCTACTGCCCAATGATGACGTCTGATGCTGTTGCTGATTCTGTTGCTGGCCGAACTGTTGGTTCTGCTGTTGACCAAACTGTTGGTTCTGTTGGTTGTACTGTTGTTGATTTTGTTGGTTGAACTGTTGTTGCTGAGCGTACGATTGTTGTTGGCCAAATTGTGATTGGTTTTGTACGCCTTGTTGCTGTTGTTGATTACCACCTTGCCTCATTAGTCCTCTCCCCCTCCCCTGGAAAGGGTAGTTAGCAGCGGTCAGGTTATTATTGGTATTGTGATTGGAGTAATTATGAATATGATAATGTTGCTGAAGAAATAAAATGTAACTGTTAATGTCAAATACTCTAAGTAAAAAAAAACAATACATATGATACGGTTAATGCTCAGATATTGGTTTAAACAACTTTCATAGAGGCACTAACATAAATTTTTCGTTTTCGCCAAAACTATGGAAATCCTTCCTTCCAACAACAATACACTTGGATACATCTAATTTCTTCTTCAACCTCAATATTACCCCCACACGACCTTCATGATCTACCAGAATCAGGAATATAAACGTTGTTGAACTATGCAAGCTACTTGTGCAATGAGGAAAAACGATTTACACATTGGTAATGCGCTCGTTGAGCCAACGTGATGCGGTCGAGCGGTATAGCACTTTTATGGTAAATATCAATCAATACCCATAAGACAGATTTGTTAGTTTGCCAGCAGTTTTCACTTAGCGGTTAGATTTGATCGTTTGCTGATTATACTTTGCGAACTGTCAAAGCTATCCCGCGGATACTGCTATTCAGCCTAAGCGCCCAATGAAATTTTGTAGGAAAACTTGAACCGCGATTTCGCAATGCGTGCATCACATGACTGGACGTAAATGTCAAAATGAGTTGACAAGTGAACAAAACGATAACGTAAATATGTAGAATGGTAATTGCTGTAGTATTGTGCGAGTCTCAGTGAATGCAGCTTGCTTAGTCGATCGTGGAGTGTTTTAGCATTGAAATTGAAATTTGTTTCATTTATGCCAGCGGTACCACGATCCCTGTGTTCATGAAACGTTGCGAAAGATTTACTTTTATACACCAACATATACAACGAAACTGTTGAATATACAGGTTGGTTTCAACTATTATTGCGGAATGGCTGAATAACTCTGGATCCGAATCTGGAATAATTACTTTTTTTAACCTCGCATATATTGATCACTAAAAAATTGTAAGTAAAGCAATTGGAATGTGATGAATCTTGCACAGTCATCAGAGTAATGTTTTGTTAATACTGCTGTTGCTAATGATGATGTTATCTTCTTACAATTAATTGTGTTGATTTCATCCATTCGTCCAATGTTTCCTAACCTTGGATTTATATTTCGTGCTTTTTGGTGGCATGATCTAGGCTTGGCCTCTGAGACATCGGACGAAAGCATAACAACTATCCTCTATCCGATGTGAGACCTATCATAATAAGACTGCACAAAGCGCCATCTATTATCAGGATCGACCACTGCAAGAGTGTGCAGGCTCTATTGATCGGTTGGATTGATAAATTTAATGAGAATCACGAAACAGCTGCCCATAGTCGGCTGCGTTTTGTTGAACGGGTGAAAGCAGTATCTTCAGTTGTTCAATAGCGAGTATACCACATCTACTATACTCTAGTGGTCAAAGTGGTGACTGATATAACGTATGTCCTAAAAGCTTTGGCACAAAATTCATTGGCTTTAATTTTAACAAACGCAAAATAAGATCAAGTTATCTTTGGGAACAAAAATTTGCTTACTTACTTTACTGTCAGTTGACATTTATTTGTTTTGAAGTTTTCGCTTAAAGATGTCGTATAAATTAAAAATAAAAAGTATCTACAAGTAGGTACCCAAAGCTGAAATCTGTCGAGTATTCCAGAATGAAAACATTTCACGCAGAACCATTCTTTGAACAATAGCGAAGTGCAAGCAAGGAACACCACGTCTGAATGTCCCAAAAGGTGAAGGACCACGTGCATTTACTGCCCAGAAGACAGAGAGATTGGTGAGAAGTCAGTTTGGAATGTCAACAAGGAGACTTGCTCGTCAATACAGATCTTCTAAGAGTACGATATCATTGTAACTGAGGAGAAATGGTCTTAAATATCGAAATATACTTAAGCGCGACTCCTTCGTATACCAAGATGCTGTCGTCAACTGAGGCGGGTACGTTCTGCCATTGGAAAAATCATTATCTCAGATGACGAAAAGTATTTCACTTTGAGTAAGTCTGAAATGTAGGAAAACGACGGATTTGGTACGGACGTACAACGTAGAGAAATGCCCTGGCAATGTTAGATACAAACATAAAGCAAAATTTGCAGATAAAATCCTTGTCTGGTGTGCAATTTCTAACAGGGGTGTATCCCAACCTTTTGTGGAAAAAGTGAGGAGTGAAGCTGTAAATAGTCACAACTGCCTTTCCAAATTGCATCAATTTGTCCGCAAACATCATGCTAATGACCATATTATGTTTTGGACAGATCCAGCATAATGACATTACTCAAGAGATATCCACAATTGGCTTCGACAACAAAAGATTTCTTTTGTTCCCAAAAACGATAATCCTCCAAACTTGCCCCAGGTTTGCCCAATAGAGGATATCTAGGAAGGTTTATCATGGAGGTTGGGAAGCCCAAGATAAAGAACAATTAAGACGGCGCATTTACGAAAAACTGAGAGAAATTGATCTGAATTCTGTCCAAGACGTCATGAGAGACATTTGGAGAAAGTTGCTGCTGGTAGAGCAGAATACGCCAATCTACATAATTCGATAGTATAGTTTAGTTAAGTAGTGGGTTGTAATTTATGATAACTAGTTAGTGTTTAAATAAATTTCTTCATTAAAAAAATCCGATAATTATTCTGTGCCAAAACCTTTACGACATACATCAAACGAGAACTAAGATCTTTCCAGTTTAAACCGATAGCTGCTATATACTCTGGTAGTGGTCAATTCTAGTAATAAATCGCGCTTTGCGCTATCTTATTTGGATAGATCTTCCTACAATATTTTAGCAGCTTCGCTTGTGTATATCTAATCGTACTCAATATTGCATTTAAAGGTACTGAGGGCACATTTAAGATTAAATCTGGTACCTCAGAGTGTGATGGGGTGTAAGTGCTTTTAAGTGAAAAGAAAAATGTTTCTTGAAAACATAAAAATCGTAAATATACTGAGTGAAAAACACCTACGTATGTTTACTAGAATTCAAGAAATTTTTACATATCGATTTATCTTGTTATGAACAACAAGTGGCAAAATGGTCAAGTTTTTCTGTTAAGTTTTTGTGGTGACTGAGTGTATTGTTTGGTGATAAAGAATCATTCAGTTTTCGTACATTTACCGTGTCAGTTAAATGTTAAAATTCGTGTAGCTGATTGAGAAGACTTTTTGTGATTGCTCAAAATGCCTAGAGTGCGTAGGATTTGCCGGGTGTTCTGGATGACCCAGAGGGACCACAGAGCGACAAGATCGCCGGTTAAGACTCTTAGCTCTGAGAGACAGATTCAGTAGTAGTCGAGCCATCGCTAATCAGTGGCTTGAAGCGCATGGAAGGATGGTTAGTATGTGTACGGTATATCACCGGATACGAAAGCTTGGCCTTTTTTCTTAACACCCAAATTGGGTGCTACCTCCCACAGGGACGACGTGGCGAAAGACGGGTCCCACAATTTGACAGAGAGCGTCACGTTCACCACCCGTGGGAGTTATGGTATGGGGTGCTATTGCTTATGGTAGCAGATCACCACTAATTTGTATCAAAGGCAATATGACAGCACGACGCTATATTCAGGAAGTAGTGGAGCCTCATCTTATTCCATACCTAAACACCATCCAAAACCCGATTATTCAGCAAAACAATGCCATACCGCATGTTGCCAGAGCATCGTTAGCCTTCATGGATCAACATCGCATCAACCGTTTACCATTGCCACCACCATCGCCTGACGTATCTCTAATTGAACATGTCTAGGTCATGATAGGTCGCAGGCTCCTGAATTTGCAACACCCTCCACGGACTTTAGCAACTCTTGCTCACGAAGTTGCAGTAGCCTGTAATGAGATATCCCGAAAGGATATCGACCACCTTATCAGCATGATGCCCAGGCGAGTCAATGAGTGTATAAGAAATCATGGAACCTCAACACATTATTGAACCAGCTCCCGCAGTCAATTGACGAATCAAGCTGAAAATATAATTATTTTACTAGTGAAGGACACTGAACATATATGCCAAACATTATCAAAATCGGATAAACATACGTAGGTGTTTGCCTTTTTTGTCACTCGGTATAATTTTTAAATAACTGTAGCAAGACTTTTTTGGTTCTATTTTATATCTAGTTCCAAAAAAATTTCGCAATGTTGTTTCCTGCTGTAGCTTCAACAACGCATTACAATTCATTGCTATGCTTATCCTTCACATAGGAGCTCGTGAACTAGCGGTGGAAATAATACCAGAGTAACGTTAAAAATGCTGCTAAATACGTTATATGCACCAAAAACAAAAAACTGATGCTTGAAACGTCAGTATGAATATAAATATTCCTTATTTTTCTATTTTTGACATCTACGCGACGTTATCGGTTATGCGTATACTGACTCATTTTTGAAAAAAATGCATATCGCACGTATTACGGCTGCATTGAGACAAACGATTTGTTCATTCTAACAACTGAAAAGGTAGAGACGTAAAAATCAGTGAGAATAGGAATGATCAACTTGTTGAAATAGTTGTGTGGAATAGGTTCAAACTTACCAAAAAAGTGAGAGTGTAAACCAAAATTTCCAATTTTTTAGGTACATTCACATGTATGGGGACAATATTTACAATGGTATATGAACTGTTCCATGGATAGGGGATATTTATGCAAATACTCCTAACAGAAATGAAATAAATCATGCTGCAGTATTTTCGATGCAACTTCTTATTCATTACCAGAAACGAATGCTTAAGTGACTGATACTTGCTTGGATCTTATATGCAAGGATCTTTACAGGAATCAGTTGAACAATACAAAAAATAATAGAAATCACTCCCAGTTTCCTTTACATATTTTTGCAGGTTTGTGGAACACCCATCACGCATTTAAAGTTGGATTATTCACTACTATCCCACAATCACCATATTGTATCTATATATAGGATGAACAAGAACTGTAAATAAGGCATCATACAATTATAAACGTTTGTTCCCTTACTG